CTTCTAATCGAGGACGAATTTCGGAATTTCAGCCAACATTTCATGAGATCGGTCACTAACTGTGAGTATTGTCGAGATCTATTCCGCGGTTTTCTCCCGCAGAATTTCATGGAGACTCATGTGGCTGATTAGGCCCATGCGGCGACTGAATGTGAGTGAGCGGTTGAAGCGGATGCCGTGAGCGTGTGTTCGTGCTCCAGGCCCTGGTTCTTCAGTCTCTGTTCGATGGATTCTCGAGTGAATCAACGGGCCGAGGCGTGATGTAAGTGTGCGCTGACAATGTTGGCAGAATAGATTGGGAGCTGCCGATTCAGATGCGTTTGTGATATTGTTAGTGTTCGCCGTTCTATTCCAGGTAGGATGTGGTATGGCTAGGGATATTAGAGTTGTCGGATTTGTGAGGCGCGCCTGTCGTGCCAATATCGCACAATAAACAAATGTAAGGCAACGTCTTAACTTCAGCACCACCCATCTACTGAGAACGAAGACAGTGAGGACCAACAGACTGACGTGTGCTTTACGGGGGATGCATAGATGACAGATGAGGAACGAAGCTATCAAGAATCAAGACACTCTGATTGTTCTGCAGCCATATTCTCCTCCACTTGAGGCACACGTGTGATGGCGGTATCGGTGATGATGCAGTGACGGTTGAGGACGCCTCTGGAGTGTCCGGCCATCGCTGTAGAATGCGTGCCATCTCAGTGAGTTGGGTATTTCTTTCGGCACTGGGAATAGACGTGGTACCTTTGGCTGGCGGAACGTAGACAGCTTTGATAGTGGAGAAGAAATTCTTCCATTCGTTAAGGTCTGCATACCCCTTGATTTCCTCAGCCTTACGAGCCGTCCAGGCGTCCTGCATCTCGCGCAGCCGCTGTTGCAGGAGGCGACGACTGCGGTAGAAAACAGCTCTGTTGTCGTCAACGGGGTAGTCTACGTAGGCTTTGTGTAGGCGATTCTTCTCGCAGAGCAGGTTGCCGATGGCATCGTCGTTGTCATCGAGCAAGTCCTTCGGCGTGCGCGACCGAGGACCGTGTGATAAGAGAACAGGTAATATGGGTGCACTCACGACCGCGGCACTAGGGCTTGCTTGACAGTGTTCTCGTCTGGAGGCGAGCTCGAATGGAGATGCTGGAGACCAAGAAGATCTGTGACGCAGACGGCCGCGTGGACCACCGTCTTGTCAACTCCATGATGAGGCTCCGACAGCAACCTTGCAGGAGGCCACAAGGTAAACGATCATCAGGTAAGTTAAATATAGTTCTGTCGAATTTGCCCATTCACGCTTAGATTTCAGCAATCAATTAAATCAACTATTAAAAGACGGGCAGGCTGCAATTCACAAAGACGCCGTGGAGAAACATAGGTTTCAACTGCAGAACTTCATCCACATCACCGTCATGAGAGTCGTCGGTCGGGCACGTCGTCAACATGACGACTGGATTGACGTCATCAACGCAAAATATCAGCAGCCCAATGGTCGAAAAGAGCAGACTGCACAGAGCATACATCGACCTCCGTATTGACGGAAACAGGACGGTCAACGTCAGATATCATCGCCTTGTTCAATAAAGCTGTGGGAGATGCAGGACGTCTGGATAAAAAGCCGAGGAGTTCCAGGGGTATGCATACAGCAGGGAAAGGAAGAATATCTTCGCGTCAATCAAGTCGCTCTACGGCACCACGGTCAAAGGGACGGGGTCGGTTCTCAGACCCGACGGAACAACGCTCCCCAAGGAGAAATCACAGGTTTTGATACGCTGGACCGAGCACTTCAAAACCGTCGTTCATTGCTCATCCAGGTTCTCTGCCATTGAGCGGCTCCTCCGGGTGCAAACTACTAGTTTACTGGACCCCACCTCCACACGCGACTTCCCCCCTAAAACTCTCAAAGCCGATCACTAGATATGAAGCAGGAAAGTGCCAGAGTCCGACATGATCCCGCTGAAGTTTACGAGAACGGTTACTCCCGGCTGATGGACAGTCTTGCAATGACATATCAGGAGATACGGCGCTCCTCATCTCCTCTTCCTCATCAAAAATGACCCAGATGAACTCGAGTCGCCGTCCCACTAAAACAAACCATTACCCATAGCGCAGTTCGGCAGCCGTCTGGTATGTCGCAGCACTCCTAAACAGGAGCAGCATTGCCTACCTCACAAAATCTGAGCACCACAACACGCAATCATTCATTACTAGGACTTCAGTCACTCAGTTTCTATCTTATTTGGAATGGTATTCGTAGGTAGAAGTGCCGATTCCCACGCATCCATCGTTAATTTACTTGTATTCACCACGAATTTTTATTTTGGTATTTGGTGTCAGCCTTGTTGCTGGAAATCATAACTATAAAAGTAAACATGCTTCCGATGCTACTCCTCATCACTGACCAGATAGTGTTCTGACCAATTGTATCACGGGACGCCCCCTTCTTCTGTTGACAGATTTAATAGCTAGTTGACTTCTACAACCTTTGACTTTCATTCCAACTCTGCTGACTCTTAGTGGTGCAGACCTCAGTCTCCAGCGTAGACAGAAATGACGCGGTTCCCAGAAATTTCCTCAGACAAGGTATTTTAACACTGTGCATTTCTTACACGTCTGCATTCGGACGTTAAACATCAACGCGTCTCCAAGGTGTTTTCTCATAAAACAAAAATGATCAACTTTTGAAGTTGTCGCCGTTATCAAGTCTGCCTCCAAAGCACTTCCTACTCCGACAGTCTTATTTGAAGGGCACTCGGTTCAGCATGCATGGCCTACATCAAACTGTCGGCACTCTCCCGAAATCCCTCATCGCCTAAAGCTGCACCCTCTTCGCTGACTGATGACACACTGAATGCCCCTTATCTGACTCTGTCTCTGCTGATGGATTCGAGTGAGAATCCGAAAATTTAGTATAATAAAGCGTTTGTTCCAGCGATTGTGTCTCCTTCTTCGCGAATGAACCTTTGTTCCATTTCGGAAGAGGTTCCGTGCGACCTTCGAACCGGAGTTAATGTAAGGGGTCAAATGCACATAATCATGGACAGCCGTAGCGCACAGCTTTTACCAAACATATCCCAGACAAGCACAGGCTTTATATGTGGTTAACAATTATCACGAAATCTGAGCACCACAACACGCAATCATTCATTACTAGAACTTCAATCACTCAGTTGCATTTGGGATATAATTGAAGGGAAAAATTCGGAATGTTTCCCGAGAAAGCTGTTTACGTTAATAGAGCGGCAGCATTGCTTCCTCACCCAGAAGATCTGCGCTGTTTTAAACATAAGACGGATGATTTGCATTTGCATACATGCCAACATTCCGACGCGCATGTAAAGGGTGAGGTCTGATATTCCATTGGTAAGCCATGAGTCGGTTGGGGGTTTTCCCCAGCCATAAACAAAAAAGATAAGAAAATTAGAGGAAATGCCGAGTTTGAGAAACGATGGACGCTTGAGTTACGTATCCGCCCTTATTACAGACCGGACTAGCGCAGAATGAGCACCATTCGAGCAAACGTCGCCAACGCCGAAATCACTCTCATGAACGCCGCAGTCTACAGCCAGAGGGCGGGATTTCCGGAGCCTCAACGAACGACTTCTTTACACCGCCTGACGGTGAAAGGGGATCAGAAAACTTGTCCTACAAAAGTGTTGAAATATTGTCATGTGCACGCAGACCATGGCTCTCAGACGTACAACTCACAGTCGAAACTCACTTCCCTATCTCCTACAGCCGCCCAACCCCACAGTGAGTCAGCTCACACTGGCGGCCTGGCATGTTCGTTCTCTTATAGATAAATCGCGAAGCAACCGATCAGAAAGTAGAAGCTGCCAGCAGTTCGAGAACTGGCGCACTACAAAGTGGACGTCGCTGCCCTCATCGGGACCCGATTCTCTGAACAATGTTAACTACAGGAGGTGAGTGTCGGCTACAGGCTATTCTGGAGTGGTCACACAAAGGCAGACCGATGTGACGCTATCATCGCCTTTGTCATCCAAAATGACATCTTGGGTGGAACGCCCTGTCTGCCACAAGGCACCAACGAGCCCTTCATGACCCTGCGTCTGCCTCATCATGGGGAAATTTTTCAACACTGTCATTTGCCTCTGAGCTCCCCCAATGACAAGGCCTGACAAGGGGAGGAGCACGTTCTGCGAAGACACGCTGGCCCTTCTGACGGTTGTGCGGAAAGCGGACAAGTCCCGGATTCCATGCCCGCGTCGGGACAGACTCAGTTGTTCAGAAGAAGAAGAAGGAGGAGAAGGAGGAGGAGGAGGAGGAGGAGGAGGTGCGATCACTGGAACAAGAAGTCTGTTGGTCAGACGT